TGATTCCATGGGATCCCAGGAGAAGACACTGTGACTCCCTAGGATCCCAGGAGAAGACACTGTGACTCCCTAGAATCCCAGTAGAAGACACTGTGACTCCCTAGAATCCCAGTAGAAGACACTGTGACTCCCTAGGATCCCAGTAGAAGATACTGTGATTCACTAGAATCCCAGTACAAGTCAATGCGACTCCCTAGGATCTTGGTGGAAGACACTGTGATTCGCTTGGATCCCAGTAGAAGTCAATGCAACTCCCTAGGATCCAAGTCAATCAGTATACCTTGTAATCACAGATATAGTAGCATTATTCTTTAAATAATGACTCATCACAAGGATAAAGTATTTTAAGGGCACCCAATTTTGAGACCAAAACATGTAGTCTGAGACTGATTGTAATTGTGAAAGAATATCAAGGCAGTCAGGTGGATCATCTAGACAATGGCCTTCCTAGCGTCCATAAGTCGTACAGTCAGGATGTAAAATAATCAGTACGATTAGGCCATAGGAGAATTGCTGGCAATGTTGAGACTAATTATGGTGCAAGACCTCAAGTGGTTCAAGCTGAACTGACAAAGAAACAAGATAGGACTGTATTCTACAGCGAATTCATGTCAATTTGGTTTCTGTGTAGACTGAGTGCAAATTAAGGTGAATCAAATAGAATACAAGAACAAATCCTCTCAGACAGTTTTTTTCTTTCATCATAAAACGTGCATGTAATTTCAATACTTGTACAAGTGATGGTTACGGAGACACTTGAAACGTTTCTCATTTTGACCAGGTCATCTTAATCAAATCAGCTGGGGCTCCAAGAAGCTTGTATATCTCCTGTGAGCTTTGGTGTATATGCAAACTCTGTAAAAGTATTCATTAGCCAGACTAATAAATATAGAACTAAGTTTTTGTCAACAGACTATGCCTAATAAAAACCTCTTGTCGAATACAAGTAGTTATAAAATAAATACTGTAATGAATTAATTATTCACTGGTTTTTAATTTCTCTATTTTTGCAGATAAGTCAAACTCACTAAATCTATGTGAACTTAAAACCCAGTTAAATTTCTCAAAACATCAAAATAGTGAAATTAAAATGCCAGGAAAAATATATTTTACAATACATTAATATGATGTCACCAATAATGTGTACAATGTCATTATCATTCTTCATGATGTCACCAATAATGTGTACAATGTCATTATCATTGTTCATGTCACCAATAATGTGTACAATGTCATTATCATTGTTCACGGTGTCACCAATAATGTATACAATGTCATTATCATTCTTCATGATGTCACCAATAATGTGTACAATGTCATTATCATTGTTCATGTCACCAATAATGTGTACAATGTCATTATCATTCTTCATGTCACCAATAATGTGTACAATGTCAATATTATTGTTCATGATGTCACCAATACTGTGTACAATGTCAATGTCATTGTCATTGTTCATGTCACCAATAATGTGTACAATGTCAATATTATTGTTCATGATGTCACCAATACTGTGTACAATGTCATTATCATTGTTCATGTCACCAATAATTTGTACAATGTCATTATCATTGTTCATCATGTTACCAATAATGTGTACAATGTCATTATCATTCTTCATGTCACCAATAATGTGTACAATGTCAATATTATTGTTCATCATGTTACCAATAATGTGTACAATGTCATTATCATTCTTCATGTCACCAATAATGTGTACAATGTCATTATCATTGTTCATCATGTTACCAATAATGTGTACAATGTCATTATCATTCTTCATGTCACCAATACTGTGTACAATGTCATTATCATTGTTCATCATGTTACCAATAATGTGTACAATGTCATTATCATTCTTCATGTCACCAAATAATGGGTGTACAATGTCAATATTATTGTTCATCATGTTACCAATAAT